ACCCACCTGGTTTATTACTTGTCCCATCTGAGTCTTGTTTAGTTCTGTCAAAGTGGCAGGAACAGCAGATGCGCTTACATTCTCTGGTATGCTCGTTGTTGTGTTAGTTGTGTTGTTGTCAGCATTCACACCGCCTTCCTTCTCATTATCGGTGGCAGGACTGTTTGGATCAAGAGTTGTATCAACTGTGGTATTTATTCCTTCATCGTTCCCATTTTGAGGTTGAGACTGTGTTATTGTTTCTTGCACTTGTTCAATGTTTTCCGTTTTATTTTTCTTATCCTCATCCTTTATGGTAGAAGTTTGCTCCGAAACAGCATTGGGTTCAGTTTTGACAGGCTTGGGTGTCTCAGTGGTTTCAGAAGAAACCTCCTTGGAGGCCTCAGAGTTGGGCCCCTTTGGTGCTGGTATAGAGGGTTCCTGTGGAAGTGCACCGCTGCTGTTGTTGATGTTACTGTCCTGAGCTCGGTTCTCCTCATTCGCAGCTCGTGGTTCGGGAGACGCTGGAAGTGAAACATCCTCTTGACCCACTCCAGCTGAATCCCCTTGGTTTCCGGCATTTGATGGTGCAGGAGATTGTTTTCCACTGGTGTCAAGAGCAGACTGCTCCGCAGGCTTTGATTGATTCTCTTTCATCTTACCATCAGCTGGTAATGGAGGTACTTGTTGTGAGTTGGTATTTACTTGACTTCGCTCTTCCACCAATTGTTCTTTTTCTTCCATTTTGTGGTTGTCTTCCTCCATTTTATTTTTTGCTTCTTGTTCTTTCTTTTTCTGATCCGTTTCTGCTTCCTGTGCCTCTACTTCCATTTCGTCTTTCTCCTGCTCCTCCTCTCTCTTTAGTTTCTCTTCCTCACCTTCGTCGTACACGATGGTGAATTCAGTGGATTTCTTCTTCTCATTGCAAACTTCAGAGTATTTGGGGCACTGTATGGTTCCGCTGCTGAATGCCGAGTCTTTTGCGGGGGTTATGACACTGTTCTCTTCATTACACACGTGCCAACTGTCATTGCCCTTGTAGCGGATATGTACTTTGTTATCATCACATTTCACATCTGCACAAATATCACCAACAAGCAGATGTTTTTTCTTTACGTTTTGTTCTCTTAGCTGCAGACCCACACCTTTCAGACATCGGGAGATGTTGCTCACAATACTGCCAGGCATGTACTCCACCGTGCCCTCCTCACAACTTGTTGTAATAAACGGTTTAATAATGGGATAACCATCCATCAGGTCATCATCAGTGTCTTTGAGAATTGGGGTAAATAAAGAAAAATACTCATCAGGTATCTGCACCCCTTTCCCAGGATCCTTCGAGCACATTCCAAGTGAAAAACGATCAGAAGTGCATTGCAGAGAAGACTTGACTTCCTTGCAGAACATTTCGGTGTTATTGTCAATTATTCCGCTTTTCATTTGTTCTTCACCCTTCAGAAAATCACAACCAACATTCTTACCCCAACTCATTGATTCTGCCATGTTGAAGTCGGCCTTGTAGAATGGCATAGAATCAAATACAGCAAGTGTTAGTGATGTATAGTACGCCCCATTGACATCTTTGACGCCAGGCTCAGAGGTGTACGGACTCATCAACTCATCTTTCGCAATAAGACCCTTCCAATGTGGTGGGTTCGTTTGAGACGCCTTGCTTTGCAAAGGCATTCCTTTTATTTCAGCATTACCCTCATCACTCGGACATTTGTACTGTTCCTTCATCTTATCAATAAGAGCGTTGGATGCCACCAATTGGACTTCCTTCTTGCCTGTTTTTTCTTCTTTGATCTCCATATACTTCTTCATCATTTCAATTTCAAACCCAAGAGCATGTGCAACCTCATGTGCAGTAAAGCGAATGAAGTACCTCGTTGCATCTATTTCTATGGGGATGAATTTAATCAAAGCGGATGTAGGACGACCCTCTGTATTCTTACTGCAAATCTTAACGCTGTTAGTTGAGTCAGCTGATGTTGTAACACCCACATACAACATAAAATCAGCGTTGGATATACCTTGTTGATGCTCTTTGGGAATTGAGACATTTGTGCAAAGAGGCAAAACTGGATACTCCTTCTCCGTCTTATTAAAAGGTAACTCCAACTTCTCCACACGATCAACACTCAGACGTTCACTGTGTAGTTTGAGAGCAGCAGGGAGAACTTTTCTTAAAAGCGTACTTTTCTTTACATCTGTCATTTTGGTTTTCTCTTCTTCATAACAGAACTCATCTTTGTGTTTGGCAACCTCAAGTATAAATCCATAATCCTCATCATATATGTCTTTAGCCCAAGGATCCTTTTTCCACTGTTCACAGTACTTCAACACCCTATCAATTTCTTTGGCAGAAACAGCAAAACGAATGGGTTGCCAATTCTTTCCACTCTTGTCAATACTACCTTTCGGAGCAGACACAATGTACGTATCCCAGGGACCCTGTCCTTTCTGCGGTAGCGGCTGCACAACAGCTGCAATGCACCCGTAGGCACAACACAGCAAGAGCAGCGCAGTGCACAACAGACGACGCATGTGGATCTTCCTTAGCTCTTAATTTTTTTCTCTTTGGCAATTTATTTGATAGATAAAGTGTTGACAAAAAAGAAGAATAAATAAAACCACTTTATTCAGAGACATTACCTTTTTTTTTAGTTTGATTATGATTAAGATTATTATAACCATTATTATTATTGGGACCTAAGTATTTTATTTGTTATTCCAGACAATGTTGTAAATGATATAAGGAAAATTGTTATATATATAAATTGATGTCATCTTATTGAGTCTCACGTAAAAATTCTTTGACGAAATTTAATGGATTGACGACAAAGAGGGCATTGAGGTACATTTGTTGCACATGCTCCACATAAGCAATAATGACCACATGGTACTAGTACAGTATCTTTAGGTCCAAAACATACCACACAATTATCAGATTCT